GATGAAAACGTGCTAAGCTTTCCTCCTTCATATGGCGGACATCATCAGAGCGGGGTACCATCCTCACAACAAAATTCAAGCTAACAAGTCAAGAAAACTGACCGGCAAATCCCTAAAAAGTGGTATATACACTCTACATCTGGCTTCTTTGATGAGATATAAAGTGATTTGGTTAGTTAAGGTCATATGTCAATTTCGATGCCTGTCTCTGTATGTGTTCGCACGCACTCACAGACATCGAAGTTGACATATATAACATGAACTAATCCGCTCCTTTATGCACATACAGCAAATATATTTGCTTTCCATGCACTACTTATCGTTTTATAGTAGCATTGTACAGCTTCAACTCTTCTTCCTGTTAATACACTGGCCAATAGATTTTTATGCCCTGTTTTCTAGAGCAAATATTATTGGACTTTCCACTCCCTTAACGTATTAGTAGATCGTTTTACGAATGAAGCTAAATCAGAGGCTCTTTGACGCTTGCATATGAAAAGCGCATCGTCATCCAGGACAATTCCCAAGTCCTTTACTCTAGTTGAGTTATGACCATGTCGTCTAGCGAATCTGCTTGCAAGTGGCGGCCGAATTCCTGCCTACAAATGCCATTTAATTATAAAATCTAGGTAAAAGCGCTTTCCGAATTGACCTGTTCGGAACCAAAAGTGGGATTGTCTTGCGGTTGTGAGGTGTGAACAGTGCAAAAGAGTTGGTCACATCTTCTCTGGCACCCTAATCCGTCCGTGTTGAGCTGTGGCCTTAGCGAGAGAGGAAAATCCGATTCAAATAAATGCTGGTCGTCATTCATTGCATCGAATTTGGTGAAAAAATGTTTTCTCGCCAGCATCATTCGCGCCATGATAGGACAGATCCGGGACACAGGAGGGTTGTCTGAGGGTAATGGCGAACTCAGTGGACGGGATGTATCGGGCGAATCCGAGGAGAGGCCTCTGGCAGTGGAGAGCAGAAGACAGGGTGCAGTCTTGAAGTGGGGTAAAAACAGTCTATAAACAAGGCTTTGGCCCACATCTGATAATTTCAGGCAAATGTGTGTGTAATGAGATGTATTCACCCTATTTCGTGTAAGGTGATGAAGGACTGGTAGTAGAATTTTCCCACA